AATAATAATAATAATAATAATAATAATAATAATAATAGGTAATTAATGATTAATAATTGTTAGCGATAAGAATAATAACAACGATAATAGTGAAAATAATAATAATAATAATAACAAAATGAGTGTTCCATCAACTATATAACTGAAACCAAACACCCGTGAGTGGTACAGCAAAAATAAGAACAACAGCAGCACAAATTAGTGTGTTTCCTTCTTTTCTTTTCATCTCTTTTTAGCGTTTTAGCAAAAGTGCCTATGGAATAAGATTTTTAACGGATTAGGAAAAAAAAAAGCAACAAAAATAAAATTAATGATTTCAGCCATAGAAAATAAAAGGAGCAACAGATCCATATACATGCAAATCAGAGCCCTCTGGAAACGTTCAACGTAATAAATATAGATATAAAAATGAATTAATAATAAATTAAACTAAGTTAGTAAGATGTACAGACTAGAGAAGGGCTAAAAAACAAGTAGTTAACAATTTCAAGGTCTGTCGCCTGCAATAAACTTCAAATACCCAACCAAAACATCTCGTCATTTGTCAGCAACGATCTCCGGTGACTGCTTGAAAACCGCAGATTGTCCGGGACGCAACTGCAGCAGTTACAAAGACCTGACGAAGCGGCCAACAATGCAGCGTGCAGTCTCGGCAGCCACTGTACAATAGCATTTCGGACAGGGCGCAAGGTTCTTCGGTGTGTGCTGCAGTTGTGTTGCTGCTGCATATAGGAATGTGCAGTGCAAGACTGATGACGATGATGATGATGATGATGATGATGATGATGATGATGATGAGATGATGATGATGATGATGATGATGATGATGATGATGGTGGTGGTGGTGGTGGTGGTGGTAGTGATGATGGTGGTGATGATGATGATGGTGGCAACACTGGGAAAGTGCTTTGGCCACGCAATCGATTATTGATTTACATTCTATATTCCCAATTTATGTTCCAAGTTTACTAATCGGGCGAAACAGCGAGATTGGTTTGTGATGTTCACTGATGTCATACAGGTCCTATCAGTTATTTTTCTTTCTCCTCAGCAGTTCCGCTATGTAATAATGGTTAACAGTGTGTACCGACGACAAAACGTTAACCTTTCAAAATGCAATATACTGTGCTGTGAAGACGATTTAACACCAAACTTCTCTTTTGTTTTTACCGCCGTCATATCAATTTCTCTTTTTTAGTTCGGAAAATACTAGGCGTACCATTCAAAAAATGTTACTCGGTGGTGAGGCATGCAGCGAAATATGTTAAAGTACAACTTTAGTTATTGTTGCAACTATTGAGCGAAATTGTGTGACAGAAAGAAAAAACGGTCAAAAATTCGCAACATTTTCAAAGATCAGTGATTTCATCGGGTCTAAAACATTTTAATCAGTAAAACTGGTTGATAACAAGCTTTTTAAGTAATCAGTAGTCATCATTTCCTAACCGTCTATAATTAAATGCAGAACACAGAGAACTGTCTCAAGCTAGAAACGTCATTT